GGTTTCATATTTTTAATTTTATAATTTCTGCATGCCATCTTACGAGATTTAAACTTATGATCTATAATCCGGAAAAATCGATAATCCGGAATCGCCGAAGTCCCGACGAGTCCGGATTAACAACTTTTGACTGTATTATAAGGCCAATCTTCCACGTGTATTATTCTAAAGTTAAATTATAGTTTAGTTTTATTTTTATACTTTTTTACATTAGACCCCGAGTGGAGGGTCAGTGTATTCCGAAGTACGGAAGTTATTGTATATAGAGAAAAATAAAGGGTTTTGTATACCCTTCGTCTGTATCCTGTCTACTTACCACAATTAGTAAACATAGCTTTAGTAAGCTCTCTGTTCCGAGTCAGGTCCTTATATGTTCCCGAAGAAGGTTAGAAGGAACATTGAACCTGATAACATAAATTCACAAAGATAAGAGTCAAAAATATCTTCACTAGTGTTGGTATCCTCGAGAGTACGTGGAGTTCCGAAAACGACCAAGCAGAGTCGGGAACTGTACTCAGGTCCTTTGCAGTGAAGCTGTCTCCACTGTGATAACTTGAAGGCTGTGTCGCTGATAGCGTTAGCGTGTTTATAGCAGTTCATTGACGACTGTAAAACATGTTTTGGAACTGTCCTGACAATACTGGCAAATAAAGTGTGTTTCGATACTTCATCAAGTGTCGTCGTTTTTCACTGCAAATGCACACGAACCCCATACGAATGTGAAGGAAGAAAATAACGCAACAACTAGTGTCAGAAGAGAAAAAACATAACAGTATCATTACTTGTCAGTGTACAGTTGCTGCATCACCAGCATAAGCTAAAGAAAAGTGTTATCCTGTTGTAGGGAATGTGGTCATTTCAGATTCGTAGAGATTATCAATAAGTACTTGTCGTTCCTTCATGAGCACTGTTTTGAGCTGTTCATTAGGTTAGGTTAATTGACTAAGGCAAAGCAAGTTGAAGGCTATCTGCCTACGGAGAAGGATCCTTCCATAACAGACTTATTAAGGGAAACTGACTTGTATTTATGTTACACATAGGGAAACCCACATAAACTATCATGCAGCCAACCCATTAGCCAGAATTAAAGCGAAGTTCAAATTATTGGCATTTAGCGACTTTTCTGCATGACTTCTGGTGGCTCATAAAGCTGTGAGACATTTAAATAAGAATTTGTTTATAATGCATTGCATATGACGAGCACATTTCACACAGTTGGATTTAGGTCAGGAGATCATGCTGACCATTCCATGTCTTGAATTTTCTCGTGTAAAACACTATTGTACTCTAAGGTCTTACACTTGTCTTCATGAAAAGAAACTCAGGACCAAGCATCTCTATAAAGGTATATAGGGAATATGATTACAGTATTGCAGTACTGCTGACAAACTTTTACCTCCATCTAGTGTCTTAAGCTATGTGCTTGATATAGCTTTATGCCTTTCCAAAATAATGACATCTGAGAATATTTATGGGGTGACTATGCATTCTCATCTCTTACCAGTTGATTGACACCTACAATCACTGGTTGGATTAAATTTGCTCTCATCTGAAAAGAGCACTATGCTGTCTGTCAAATCTGTGTATGTGTATGGAGCTACTGCAAATGGACAGCTGTTAGGGAAACATTGTATGCTAGCCATCAGGGCAAAAGACCTCCTTGTGTAATCATGCTGATTGACATGAATTATTCTTTCCTTATTGGACCATATGACAATCTTGTGAAAGCACGGTTGAATTCATCAACTATCACTGCACCATTGAACAGCAGTGCCTGTAGCTCTGAAGATCACTCAAGTGTGACGATAATGTGGACAACTCTAAACTCTTGAGCTACACTTATAACATTTGTCCCTTTCTCCAACTTTTCAAAAATTCTGTACTAAATGAAGTCTTCTAAATATCTTTGGGTCTTGTTGTCAGAGCTTAAATTGCACCGGAACCCACCGAAGCCCAGCTCCAGTCTTCTCAGTTTTCGAGATAAATTATAATTTTAGCTGGAGCGCGCCGAAGCCCTAAATAAAAGGTCTCGGGCACTTTTTTTGTGCAAATAAACCACAATTTTAGCACAAAAATTTTGTTTCAATAGTAAACATGTCTTAAAAATCCGATTCTAACTTCTGAATGCAAGTCTATCTTTCCATCGCACTCAAGCCTTGCACAGAGGTTGAGACTTTTAAGGAAGGAAAAGCCCCCAATTATATGTGAAAGGCTTATTCTCCAGGCTATGCAATGAATTTATGAGAGCGGGTAAATTTTGTATGCCTCAAAGAACTAAACGTGACACCCTTCCATGCTAGTGACAACTAGTGAGTTCTGCAGAACTGTAGACTTTCTGAATGATGTAACCAAACGGAGGGACCACCGCTGCCACTTGTACCAAGAAGTCTTATATTTATTCTCACGTTGTAAAGGAAAAGTAAACAGGGAAAATTTATGCTTGACGGCTAGAATTATATCGACAGGGCATCGCGATCAGGAAGTCTTGAACTTTTCCCTCTTTATCTTCAAAGCTACACTTTTCAGTTAAATTTCTTTCCATACCCTCATACTATTCCTAGAATTCTCACTATTCTCCTTAGTGGAGCTTTAATCGTTTTATCTTTTTTCCTTGGTGTGCTGCAAAAAAAGACTGATACCTGTCATCCCCTGGAATAGTACATTTTATGTATAATCAGGGCTTAAACTCAGACGGAGATCAGCTGAGTTGCTTCTTAGCATCCAAGTGGAATTGTAATTCCAGACGATGCCTCAAATTCACGAGGTCCGATACATTTTTTTTCTATTTAACTATTCTAAATTAATTTAATAATTTATTAGATTTCTCTTTACATTTTTCTTAATTAAAATGTGTTATTTAAATAATTAATTTAATTTAATTACTTAATTTAATCAAATTAAAATTAATCTTAGTTTAAATTTATTATTTAATTATTAGCTTTTTTTTTTTTTTTTTTTTTTTTTTTCTTTCTTTCTTTTCCTTCCTCACAGTCTTCCATAGAGCTCTGGCACTTCTAATTTTAGAAATTAAGCACTGCTTGTTGTAGTCAAGAAACATACTTAGAAAAATGATCTGTGATTCTCTGTATCTTCCATGCAAGTGTGTGTGTGGTTATGCAGTTTGCTTGTAAGGGCATCATGTGCCTTATTTGTGCTTGCATAGTCTTCCCTAATGTCCTGATGAACTTTCATTCAGCTGTTGCTAATATATGGAATGTTCTGTCAATTTCCTTGTCTTATCCATAAATTTTGCATACTAATGTATTTATCTGTTAAATCAAAAGTTGCATTTTCATTTTTTAATGTAAGAACAAAACATAAATGCTGTTAACCTTTAGATAGAAGAATAGTTAAATAAAAGTCCTTTCAAAAAGTAATATAACATGCATACGAGCAAGTTTCCCATAGAAAGTTCTTCACAAAAGTATCCCTCCCCTTAGGCAGATAGCCCTCGAGGGCTTTGCTGTAATTAAATAAACCAACCAACCTTTCAAAAAGTGTAGTGGAAGACCATTGAATCCATCATAATGGGGTTCTTTAAAACTAGCATAGAACTTGTGTGAATTCTGTAAATTTAATTTTTAGGTACATGCGTACTATCCCATCAACTGTGAAACTATCACCAAGTAACGAAATTTAACGGCAATTAAGCGCGTGGGAACTTCATAATATATGTACTTTCTTTTGTTATAACCCAAATTATTCTTGATAGCCATTTTTTGCTTTTGTGAACAAGGATATAAATTAACTGTTATTGCTATACTTTTTCTTTCATTTTGTAAAAATTAAAATTTGGTAACTGTCTTCTACAGAATACCAAACAAAGAATTATTTTCAATGTTATGGGATCTTAACATAAAAAAAATAGTGTATTAATAGATACAACATAATCAGCTTATTATGGCCAATAAAACATTAATACATTGGAACCTGCAAGATGTTTGAACTCGTAGCATTCTAAATAGAGCTATCATTAAAATCAGAGAGCTTTACAAAAGAGAACTTGATAAAAGCCTTTTCCTGGAGTGGGTCATACATTGATTGTTTATTGAATAAAGAGCATCAGCTCTTTCAGAATTCCACAACTTTCGCAGGATAACCTGCCAGCTTCATGGTTCAATGGTATACAACTTTCATGGCTAACGGGATAATATGTAAGTACTGATTTTTCAGTTATGATAAAGATCGCTTTAAATAATTTACCATGTGTGCTAATTTCTTCATAACATATAGCAAATCCTGAAAACATAAAGCAAATCATTGTTCTTATGGCTCCTAGCCAATTCGTATCTCTTTTTGATTTCTTTACAATTGCTTCACATTTTTCATTTTGAGGGCAGTTGACATGATTTTTTTTTTTCTTCTTTAGGAACGTAAAAAAGGTACTTTCTGATTATCTATACCCCTACCGAAAAGTCACAAATCAGTTGATGACTTTATTGAAAATTTATGAACTCGTTTGAGGCTATTTTTTCACGAGCTAATGCAAAAACTAGGCATTGGCTTGGTGGAAAAAAAAATAAGGCTGTTGTACAAATTTGGCATTGTGCATCCTCCAAAACAGATGTGCTACACACATACCTTAGTTACCACATAAATAATTTTTGGCAGTGTCGGGTTGTCGCATAATTATTTTAATGACGTACTGTTTATGTTGTTGCCATACTGTTCATAAATGGGGTTTTTTCCCCCCAACTATATGGTGGGTTGCAGATAAAACGTTTTCCTTTTTTGGAGCAGTAACAATTTTAACTTGAATTGTACCTTTATATGAACTCTCACTGTTTTTAATATTGTTTATATACCTTGAACTGTACCTTAAGAATTTGATGGAATAATCTGAGGTAGTTGGTGGTGATGATATGATTATCGGCTGTTATTCTATAAAATTTTTGCTCGTAAATTTATTAACCCTCCTTAAAATAAATTTATTGATATTTTACTTTGGTAGCTCTGGAATAATTATAATAATATTTTAATATATTTTTTGAATATTTCAGCCATACAAACTTCATCAGTTAGATAGTGGACCTTCTTCTGATGTTAAAGTCACAAAAGAAGATGCTTTAAAGTATTACAGAGATATGATGACTATTCGTCGCATGGAAACTGCGGCAAATAGTTTGTACAAAGAAAAAATTATTCGTGGTTTCTGTCATTTATATTCAGGCCAAGTAAGTAACTGTTCTATTTATTTTTGCTTAAAAAATAGGTAAAATTATGAGAAATTCAAACTTAAATTGGAAAAAAACTTGTCTTAATATGGAAAGTGACATACCCTTTTTTTCTTCAATAAGCAAAAATACTCTGGTCATCTCTCTTAAAATAAAGTTGTTCTTTAAACTGATATCAATACGAGACGAAATATTGCTTGAATCTGAATGTCATATTGCTGTGCTTCTTTTCTACATAATTCATTTTCAGGCTGCTGTTTCACGAAGCTTTCTGTAAAGTATTGCAGTACAAAGTCAGAGACCGAAACTTTATTGAATTGAGATTAGGGATTTTTCTGGATCATTATTTTGATTCTAGTAAAATGATGTAAAAATTATAAAAACTTTGAAAAAAATTAAATTGTGGTTTATGAAATAATGAAGCATTTATGACCTTAATCAAACTTTACAAAAAGAAATTAATGTTTATTTTTTTGCTTTATTGGATATTTCAATGCAAGTTGTTTAAAGTTGCTTAATTTTTTGTGCTGACACTTTTTCTTTAATTCTATAGCTAGAAAAAATTTTTTGTTCAGTTACAAAGTTCCATTGTTCAAATCTTGTACTTGCCATATCAAGAATTCCCACTAAATTGTCAATCAGAATTGGTTTTTCTCAACATGTGTATCATTTTCTTCGCTATCAGTAGTAAAATTTTCTAGATTTAAAACCATAATACAAATTTCACCATCTGTTAGCTGATTGGTGCATTGTCATCACAATGAAAAACATCTGTTATACAGTACAAAGTCTGTAATCCGGACGTCCATTATCCGGAATGATCTATAATCTGGACCTCAAAGTCGCAAACCTTTTTTTTTTTTTTTTTTTTTTTTGTATGCTTTACACATGTGCGTAATGTCTTTAATGCTACGCATGCACATTTAATGTTTACGCATGTGTGTTTAGCACAAAAAACGAAGCAACTTAAACAACTTACATTGAAAGAAATGTTTAATAAAGTAAGCAAATAAATATTAAGCTTTTTTTTTTTTTTTTTTTTTTTTTTTTTTTTTTTTTTGTGTGTGTGTAAATTTTGATACCCTTTAGATCATAATTGCTCTTTATTTCATAAATTATGGTTTCATATTTTTAATTGTATAATTTCTGCATGCCATCTTACCAGATTTAAACTGATGATCTATAATCCGGAAAAACCTTTAATCCGGAAGCACCCCGACAAAATCGGAATTGAAGTCCCGACGAGTCCGGATTATGGACTTTGTACTGTATCATCTTCATTTATCACTTCTCCACAAATTCCATTAATTGGATAATTCCTTTTTTTTTTTTTTTCTTTTTTTTTTTTTTTTCGGTAATATCTGAAAACTTTCAAATTTGTGGCTATCATCATAAAGCGTAGCAACCTTTGGCTATAAACTATTGGCAGTGTATTACGAGTGTTGTGCCACTAAGTTAAGTCTTCCTTCTATCGCATGTCAAATGATATTACTTTATTAATTTCTTATGCTTATTTCCGCATATGCTAAGGCTTCTCTGAGTTTCAAATAAGTAAATTGTCAGATATACTTATCGTGGCTTGGCAGCATTGTACCCTATTATCCAGTTTGAGTTATTTGCCAATCAAAAAGCTAAATTATTTATCATACGGATTTACACTAATAAATTGTTGTTTCTTCAGTTATGGAGGTACTTTTATTTAGTTCCAACGTCAAATTAAGAATTTTATTCAGAAGAACTGTGAAATTGCCATGTGCTAAGCATTCATTGAAAAAAAAAATTTTTTAAGTTGCTGGTGATCTGGAGGTCCAAATATTGAACATCTGGACTTTGTACTGTATGTTATATCTTGTTTTAAAGCAAAACTTAACTGCTATTTTAATTATGACTTTATTGTTAACTTTTGGAGTCACGCAACTCTTATTTGAATTTATGTACTTCATTTTCCATCCTAAAAATAATAAAACACTCTATCTGCATCTTTCTAAATTAATCCATGTCATATGACTCTTGCATGATGTTCATGATGCAAATTTTAAATTTGAGAATTAAAATTTATTGTGAATCAATAGAGATAAAATGTGAACCAAAACCGATTTATTTCGAAGAAAGATTCTATCTTAGAGAGGTTTTTCTTCTTTGTCTAGCTAGATGGCTGTCACTGTTTTCTGTCTTCTGCAGCATCTTAAAAATTTCTTAATCATTGTGTGTTTTGTTCCTTTACAGTATGTTACTCTTTATTAATAATGATGTAGATTTTTTTAATAATTCAGTTTTATTTTCTTATCTTTCTGAATAAATATGTTCATTTTCTATTAATAAAAATAGAGCTGTTAAGAATAAAAACTGAAATTCATTTCTGACATCCAAATTCACAAATATGAAAGCATATCTTATAGTACAAAAACATACATATTTGTATGCATGTATACATATTATAAAAGAAAGTTATTGCAGGCAAGCAAAAAATGTTAAATATTAATATAATGAAAATGTATAAATTGATTAATAATCTAATTGTGTTGTAGATGAAAAATGTAAATATGCTGGATATCAGATGACATGTAATATGTATTTTATGTGAACTTTTATTTTATTTATTCGTTTCATTTGGAATGATTTGCATGTGAAAGTTTGTGAGAAAACTGTTAAATTTGGTCCTGTAAAATACAAATTCCAATCATTCTTAAAATAACTTATGTGCATATAATTTAGAACAACAAATTCAGACTCTGTAAACAGTGTCACTAGATGTAAGTGTTGCACTTCTTTATCCTTTAGTTGAGTCTTGCATACCAAAAGATTTTTTTAAAGCCTGTCAAAGAAGTGCGAAGGTTGATCATGGTCCGGATCCAAAATGTAGATTATACACGTTATTAAAATTTTCCAGTGTATGTTTTACAGTGGAAAACATGATTCATTTTATTGTTTTAAAGCTAAAAAATTACCGTTTTTAGAAAGACCAAAAACTTTTTTTAAATAAGAGGCATTCCTTTTGCTATTTAAAGGCTGGTCACTGTGTAAATACATGCAGGAGTTCTATTAAATGTACAATTTACCATAAAAATTGCAGTGTAATTGTGTTTGAAATTGCCTAAAAATAAAACAAATATTAAGAAGCCTGTACTGAATAGCAGTGGAAAAGAAACTTGCAAGGAAGAAAGCTCAGTGAATCTTCCTAGAGTTAGTAACTCACTACAAGGACTTCTGTAGAGCCTGAAAGCAAAGTTAGTTGGAAATAACTGTACGCATCGTGTTTGAGCTTTATATGACACAGCATCGCAAAAATTGTATTTAAGGAAAGTCTTAATTTCTACTCTAAATCTCATATCTTCTAGACATCAGGTTTGAGCCATGCCTTTTTTGGAGGAAAAAGAATACCTGAAAATTTATGTAACATCTGCAAAATTAAGCTATAGAGCTAAGATGAGGATTTTACTTGTACTTTTGATATCTATGAGCAAGATATGATTTGTGATTCTTTACCTTCTCCCTTAAATGACCTACATATTTCAGTCCAAGAGATTACCACTTTATGATACAGAAAATTCATCAGGACCTTTTAATCTTTTAATTGGTGCAAGTTTCATTAATCTTTAATTGATCTTTGAATTGTCCAGTTGATTTTTCACTAGAAGAAAGAGAATACTTTGTTAAAGGATGATCGAAGATACAAAGTTGCCTTATTGTGAAAGGGCAATCATACACCTCTCTTAACCAATAATTATGTAGCAGTAAAAAGACTTGAAACCTCGACTCAAAAACTAAATGCAGATAAATTATTTGATACCTATAATTAGGTGACCAGATTTTAACATTGGTGAAGCGGGACACCATTGACTGGGGGGGATGAAACATTTGGTCTGTATGGAGCAACACAAATTTTCATAGAACCAAAATATAATAAAAAATATTGTAATATATTTTATTTTAATTTCAACACAAGTACAATTTACAAATATAATTACATTAAAAGAAATTATGTATAGTATTATTTTATTCTTTGGCATATTTCTCAATTTGAATGAATTTTTTTTAGTAGATTGCTGTTCTTGTTTGAAAGGTTATGAAATTTTTCACAGGAATTTGTTAAATTATATTTCACACATAAAATGGCCTTCAAAGTCTCAACACTTAATTGAGATTTTTCTGATGTTTGCACTTTATTTACCGTAGAAAAAATAGCGCTCAGTCACAGCATTAGTTCCTGGTAAGAACAGCCCATATTCCACAGTTTTTAGTGCATTATTGTATGGAGCATGGTTTGTTTTAAAATGATGAAATATTTTTAAACATTTAATCTCTATTGTGATTTTCGCTGATGTCTAAGGTTTAACCTTTTCCTTATCAATATATATTTTAATAATGATACCTAGTTAAAAAGATCATTTTCATAAATATTACTATATGGGAAATTTTGAGTAATATGATCGAATGATTTTTGCATATTCCAATTAAGTTCTTGTTTTATAATGTAACCCAATGAATATGTTCAAATCATTGTAATGTACCATCCGCTCTTGTAAATAATCTGTGCAGTTACTATAGAACTTATTAGTGTGATTCATGATATATGCACGATTTATTCCACATTGTTCTTCTAGCTGGCTTATACTATTATGGATAGTTAACGGAAGAAAATTATTTTCTAACCATAATGTTTTATAGCATTTTGAAAAGAACTGCTTGATTGTGTAAAAAACTGGTCAAATTTTAGAAATTTCTTTTTCAGAAAAGGATATTTTCTAGGATATATTTATCCTGTGATAGAAAGTAGGATTTCAAAGGATAGTATATTTTCAAAATTCTTTCGACAACTGGCAAAAGAGCTAACCAGTGCATTTTACTGTATCCAACTATTTTCTGATATTCAACTTCCGCAGTTTCACAAAATTCTTTAAGCATTTTAACACGCACGTGCATATATATAAATAAGAATATATGTTAATAACATTATTTTCGACATCTAGTGGGCAACAAGTCAGCGGCTGTTTGAATGG